CTAGTGATTATCATGCAGTATAACCCCAAGATCTTTCGGCAACTTCTGGATTCCGGCTTTTGAATGAGCTTTTTTCTGGCCACAGGCAAACTCATGTTCAATAAAATATGACCACTTATGTAGTATGCATTTCCCCATTTGATTTTCGATTCGTTCATTTCTTTAACTATATTTTACGGGAAACGTGAATAAAAGCATGCTCTGTTACAGTCATTTTATAGTGCATCACGTCTTCTTCAAACTTTATGTCCAATGAAAGGATACCTTTCGGCTTTAAAAATGGGTCTTGGGTTCCGGGATAATTTTAATCCCTACTTTGCGTAAAGAGATACTAAACAACAAACTATATACTTTCCATGTAGGGAAAATTAGGCGTTCTTCAAAGCTATTGGGACTCATAAACATTTGAAAAATATACAGACCATGTTGCATACTTCCTAAGAAGCGCTAAAAAAACGGACAAATGCACAGTCCTAAAATTCCCATAATCACAAACGTTTCCTAAGCCGAAAATTAACCATAACGCCAGGCGGTCGTGGCGTTGTAAATACCTTTGTCTGTCTCTTATCAACTCACTGATCGACGCACAAAGTCAGGCGGGTATTCTTTTGAGAGGATAATGTGAAATAGCATTTTAGCTTTGATCAATTTTTTTTTTAAAACAGAGCTGTGAATTTTAATTCCCTTTTTAAGTACTAAAGATGGTAAGTTTGTGGAAATGAGATAGTTGCTCTAGCAATATAGGACTACATATGAGTGCGTCGCATTGCGACAAACCGATGTATGAAGTAATTGGCCAGTCTTTCTGTGGCAGTTGTTCATCATCCTCTGTCTCCATAGTTACTCGAATTCCCGGAAAAGTGGAGTATTTTGATCTGACCTTTTTTTCGCGATAAAAATGTATCATCTGCGTAGAGCAGCTACGACTTGGAGTTACCTGCGGGGGGGGAGGCTGTAGCATCTAATTTCTGCATTATAGCCCTCGCCAGAAGGCCACCTGAAGAAGTCTAATCACTTGTGAAAAACACCGAATGCATGTGGAATCCACACTTCAACTAGTTCGCGCATTCAGCTTGTAAATCAGATAGTTGCTTGCTCCCCAAATAACTTTACGATATGAAAAATGCCACACGGAGTAAGTAAGCAGCACTTTGGCTGCCGTATGCTGAGGCCCTAGCCGAGCATCAGGTTAGATAGATAAAACTGCTGTTAGGCCAGAAGCACATTAAAAGGACTAATCAACTGTCGCGATCTTATTCACTTGGAGATTTCCCGATATCCTCCGGGCAGAAAGCGTCCTCACTGCAGCTTGCAGAAGGGCTGGTGCTTGAAGGTGATGGTGCACAAGCAATTAGGTGCTCGCTAGGGCGTGATGCGATGTGCGGGGCTATTTGGAATCCCAGCAAAGGCTAACTGACCTAGTGCCGATGTTGACAATTAATCACAACGGTCTGATTGAAGAGAAAGTTATGATACTCCGTCCAACTGGGATGCTTCTGATGTCTGGATGAGTTTGTTTCGAGGTCTGATGAAATAAATAATTCAAATCCACGAAGACATGGGACATTTTCGGAAACACTTGTAAATGAAAACTAAGCTTTTCTGAGTATAAATGCAGTTTTGGATCCAATAACGCATGGTACATTTAAAATGCGCCTTCCGGAAGTTCCTGTTTGACATATTTGAAAAGTAAGCACATTTGTCATTTAGCTGACCTAATTATGAAAAAAATTGACGGCCAGGAAGGACTTCGAACCTAGGACAGCTAGAGCAAGGCTTAAGTTCAATCAAAGCTCAAACAACCCAAAATATTAGTTTCGGACTGAGAGCCGCAGGTGACCTCAGCTGCTCCGATGGCTCCGATGTTTTTCGCGGCCTCGAATGCTATTCGGACCGCCCGATTTGCCACAGTTGGGTCGGCCGCATTATCCATATTTTCCGAAAAACACAATTTTTATTCATTTAAAAGGGAACCGGGGGTCTATATGAGTGTAGAAACGCAATGGAACAACTTTACTACTCCAACAACGGCTCCTTCTCAACTGAAGTCGATACATGTGGCCAAAATGATTGCTCTTCTCGGCGTCCTTGGGAATAAGTGCGCAGACTTGAAGTAAATAATTAAAAGTAGAGCTTTTCAGGCTAGATCGAAAAGTTGCTATATATATTTGGGTTAAAAAGCCTTGTTCTGAAGGACTTGCTCCAAGCTCGCTCTATCGATTTCCGAAGATTGGAGTTTATATTATTAAAAAGCACACTTGCGTCTGTGTTCTGGATTTGCACCAGATCGGGGAAGCAGGCATGTCTGGGTTCCGAACTAATATCAGTCCTGGTAGGGGGAGTACGATAAGGCACTGGCTGTCGCCAACTACTACGTTTAGCCCCATATGCGGACCGCGTGAATCGTGTTCGGTAGGAATCAATTATGTGGTCGGAGTAGGCTTACTATCGAGAACAGCCTGCTATATTCGGTGGAGTTCTAGTCGGAATGCAGTTACTCCTTTCGACAGCTATAACCCCATCAGGATGGCCGTTTTTGAAATAAACCGCCCCGAAGACGCGGTGATGCCAGAACCTCTGTATGGTCTCACCGTTCTGCATCATTCTGCATCTGCTTATTGCCTTACCGCAAACGATACGATGTGGTTATGTGGCTTTACCTGATAGACACAGTACTCTTGACCTACTTAGCTATTTTGAGTTGGTGTTATTATGTTGGCATGGTGTTACTGTGCGTTACGGCGTGTGTTCTGTTAGTAGTCTTATTTCTTTGTTGCCGCGTCTACCTTCTTTAGCCCAATGCCGGTGGTCCTTCTTGACTTTCGGCCTGTCGCCTCCTTCTAACTTTCGCCTTGGAAGTTTCGGGGTTGGGGTTTAGGGCTGCAGCTACGGATTAGGGTTGGAGTTAGAGCAACTGTTTCTCAACCACTCAAAGTACAACTGCGCATTCCCAATAGCTTCTCTTTTGCATACAATTACTTGACCTCGTCGCCTGTACGTTCGCCGGCCCCGCCTGTAAAAACCCCCTGTTACCATCGATCCCGTATTACAGGTGACTGGGGTTTGTTTACTTCAGGTGCGGCCGCATAACCACATCTGACTCCGAAAGCAAAGCTTCATGATTAGTTTTTAAATTTTTTTATCATCTCCCTTCTCCGAGTTTCCGAACTCCTCGTTGTGAAGCCTCACACGTATAACCCCTATTATCACCATTCCCGCAAGACACGCTCTACCAGTTGCATCCTTCTGATCGGGGAACCAGCCATGTTTGAGTTTCGGACTAATACCAGCCCTGGGAGTACGATAGGTCATTCCATGTCGCCAACTACCAAGTTTAACCACAGATGCGGGCCGCGTGAATCGTGTCCGGTAGGAATAGTGTATATGGCCGGAGTAGGCTTATTATCGAGAACTTCCTACCATGTTTATCAGTATAGGCGTTATTTGGTAGTTTTGGTCAAAATGGAGTTACTCTCTTCGACCGCTCTAACCCTGGCAGGATGACCGTCTTTTAAATAAACACATCGATTACGACGAATGGAAGAGGATATACGCATCCTAGGTTCTTGTGTAAAAGAAGACGAAGGCACGATCAGTGGGACGATAGCGCAGCTCACATCGCCGCGAAGTAAAAACGGCGTCATTATGCCGGGGGACCATTGTGGGCCAGGCGGTACAAATCAGACCTAGCCACGGACGTAGTCCTCCCCCCCCCCCTGGAACAATGATATAAATGTTCACACGCTGCTGCACTTTAGCAGTCTCTGATGATGAACTCCAGTTCGAGTTCGAAAGCTAAGGCCAATAAATCTACCGTCCCAGTGATCGTACCTTCGTCTTCTTTTACACATCAGTTACCGTTTTCTGACCCCGGTCATATACTTTATCCTTGTCATTGTAACCCCACCGGTCCGTGTTCGGTGGCAGGTTTCTGTCGAGGTACAGTTGACTTTAGACAGAAAGAAGAAGAGTGAAACCACCGATATTTCAGTACCATCTGCTGATTTCCCCAATTCCCAGAACGACTCAGAAACCCCCTTTCAACTGCAAATTTCTGGAGTTCTTACATCACTCGGACTCCTCTCTAAGGAGTTATCAGGGCTGTGTGTTCAATTGTCCTGGATCTATCCAGTTAAGATTATCAATAAACATTAAATTAAGATGAACTGTGCTCACCGACCTGAGGTGAATGATAAAGGCTGACGGTGACCATGGTCGGGGATGTGTGTCGAAGCAAGGTCAAAGTGATCCAGCCGGGGCTGACTAAAGAAAACATGTTGGCAAGTCAGTCGCTGCTTTAAGACGGTTAGTCGTGCAAGGCAAACTCCCAAACCGGACTAGGGGTGAGGCGGGGCGCTGGGCTTTGACTGACAGGTCACAGATCACCCGGCACAGAGATATGGCGCATTGCGGTCGCATTAATGTCAGACCTTCCAGCTCGGCCATTCGCACCACTTCTCCTCCTGCTGGGGTGCTGAAAACTGTCTGGCTGAACAAACCGGTCGGGGCGGAAACAGCAAAGTCTCCCCCCCTCATTTCACTGGTAAAACCCAAGTAGGTGACCGCCTCAGGCCAGCGGGGGCTGATCGCCAATGGCCAGGGAGTACTGCCTGTCAAGGTCGCCACCTTCTTCCCCGGGGAGTAACGGGCGGAAGGAGGTGCGGAGGGGGGAGAGAGACAGTGGAAACGCCTGATCAGTATTCAAAATCCCACTTCCCTCTCGCTCGCTGCCAACACACACCCACACCCATCAGCGTTTCCTGTGCATGAGACAGCTCTCTGTGTGCAAGAGAGCAGATGGAGGAGAAGGACGACATAATTTGAGAGCAATTCAATCGGAAGGAGAGGAGGAGGAGATGCGGGAGGAAGAGAGCTTCCGGAACGCATTTAGGAGACCCTAGGCGCTAATCCTTTGATGACCAGGCCCTGCAGACAGAAACACTCAGATCATGGCCACGAAAACTTTATGGCCGCCATCAGAGTTGAACCGATGAAACTCGATGCAACCCGAGGTAGTGGTGGAGGAGGACGATGATAAGGATGATGATGATGATGATGATGATGATGAGGAGGAGGAGGAGGAGGAGGAAGAGGAGGAGGAGGAGGACGAGGAGGGAGGTGTTTTCAGGGTGACAGAGGGAGGGTAACCTAGAGAGTAAACTGTGTTGAGAAGGGGAACACAAGGTGAGAGGAGGTAGTGGGCTCTCGCTTTTATAAAATATTATGACCTAGTAACATGCGAAAGAGTATCTTTCCTGGCTGCCTATATCGGTAGTTAACGTAAACTTTCATCTCGTCCCAAACACCTGCGGTTTATTGCCATGCTAAGGGCGTCAAGGGTTCTCTTCAACATATCCCTGCATTAAAGTGGTTATGGGTGAGCGGAAACTTAGAAAGCTACGACGAGATGTGGGAAGGGGTCGAGTTAAATTCTGAGCGATAGTGGGGTAAGTCGGGGTGCCAGCGGTGATGCCTACTGAATTATTGTCAGAGAAATTAGCAGTGGTATTAGCAGTCGCATTACTAATATGAATAGTAATGCCAGGGGTGGTAGTGGTGGTGGCAGCGGTGATGGTGGTGATAATACCGGTGAGAACGCTTCTACTACTAGTATCGGCAGTTTTGAAGACGAAGATGCGATCACCGAAACAAGAAATGTATTGACCTGACGTCTCGGGATCTTACTGAAACCCATGTGGTGAGGTATCGGACTAATTTACCTTTGACAATTTAGTCCCATTTTCTTTGACCGGATTGCTTGTTTGAATGTGACAAGAAACGACACACCTGTACAACCCGCCTTGCTAGCGTGCTCCGCTGTCGTGCTCTGTTGTCCGGTTTCTTAAAGTTCAAAATTTCTATGTTATTCATTGCTCAGTTTTACTTGCTGCCTTTAAGGCTAGGGGCTCGTGAGATATAACTCGTTAGCTCGTGAGGACATTACCTTTTACGGCACTCATCACCAGAGACAGTCGCAGTGGTAGTCTTTATGTCAGCAATTGTGTCAGAAGTGCCAAACAGGACAGTAGAGTTTCAAAACGCGAACACCCACGGGTGACATATGCTGAGCGAAATGAAAGAGAGGTCTAATTAGTCAGAATATACAGACCCCCCCCCTGCCCATCGGCGCTTCGACGCAAGATCACTTCTAATAATGGAATGGTAGGAAAAAGAGTATTGGAAGTGATGCCTTGACAGCCCTACCGAAATTTCCTTGACTAGTACGTTTCCGGATCGGTTATCTAGGTCTTTTCCCAAAACGGGTGCGCGATTTCCTGTTGGCGACTTTTTAGAAGTAATGCCTTAAAACAAGCTTATGACGTTTTTATGACTTCCTGGCTAGTTTTATAATTTCGACGGTATAATCCTTTCTTTTAAAAGGTACCGGAACCGGACGAAACAGAACCAAAGAATGAGCCTAGTGAGGACAAGGAACTAGGAAACACATGCTGGGGACGAAGTTAGTATTCATTTCTGTGAAACTTCGATTGAAGAACAGCATCACGACATGTTTTTGATAGAATTCTTGTCTCAGCAGCATATCACAAGTGTTAAACTGCTCCACCTTGAGGAACTAGGTGTCACTTTCTTCTAGGGGGGTAAATAGATGTCTCAATTCCTGGACACTACTAACTTTACTTCGGTTAAACTTTAGAAGTCCTCTTGGCAGCTGGGTTTCCATGGCAGACCAGATCACATGAAGGATGTGCCCTGCTGTTTAGCTCCTGTTTGTTGAGTACACAAATCGGAGACGGAATGGAGCCATGGTAGCACTGGAGGAAGGGCGAGCCGGCCGGATATCGGTCTGGACAGGTAAGTATTCCCCCCTCGAACTATGCAAAGAGCAGGGGGTTGTTTTCCACGCGGGTTTACTGACTCAGACAATACCACGAACAGTCGAGAAAAAACAATGACCAAAAGACATTGCGGAATGAATGGCATTGTTGTCAGAAGGCGTCGGGTACGAGGAACCGTACGAAAAAATGAGTGTAAATTTCGGTCCCCCTCCCTCGTCTTCCTCCTTCCGTAGAGGTAAAACGACAGGTCAAAGCAAGCAAAGGTGTTTTTTTTAACCGGAAGTGTGCTGGGCGTGTACACGGTTGTGAAGAGTCATGAAAAGAGGGGGACAGAAAACACTGAGCAATATGAGCACAAAGGAATTCGCTTTTCTCTGCCAGTTAACTGGACTTCGCTTGGCGTGTGAGTTAGAAGCTCCCTGAATGGCACGCGTTCGCGGCCTCAATACTCACTAGCACTGATAACGAACAAATTTGGGATTTAGAAACGCCAACAGGGTCAAAGAACTCGTCCTGCTATTAATATGAAATAAAGTAAGTATAATTTTCCCTCTGTCAACCGAAACTTTGACTACATTGCGGAGAAGTAACAGAGGGAGAAGGTCACTTGTTTGGATAGAAGGTCTTCTAAAATGATTGATTTCAGTGAGACAACTCTGAACTCTCCGGCACACATCTCCGAGTATATAGATACGTATACAAGTCGTCTTAATTACCACCGTGCATTTCCTTGAGAGGAAAGATGACCTAATTACATGAATACTGTTTGTTTCTGTATAAAATTACATTTGGGAAGACCAAACGCAAATACCCAAGCCGCGACTTTAAATAACAAATAAAACGGGCGTAACATCTATGCTTCGACAGAGGTCTAGGTCGTTCGGTTGTATTGTAGACTAATGGCTGAGTAATTTTAGCTCATAGTTTCCATCCTGTCAACTGTATAAGTTCTCTTAGCTCATCAGATATGAAAACAAACCTATACGATTTGATACGGTTGTTCCAACACGTTTAGATACTGCTGACCAGCGAACAGTAGGCACAAAACGGTCTGAAATGACAAGTAACGGCTCAGAGCAGAGTCGTTCAAAACCGTGGTACATGGCAAATGACATTAGCAAGAAAACCAGGCGGAATTGGCAGGTTTTAGAACCCCAAGTCGCTGGTAAATTCAAAATATATATTAAAATTCAGTGCCACTGTAAACATCAACTGTCAACTTTATTCGCCGATCTCATTGGTTGAGGTTTCCTTGCCTTCCTGACTGAATGTAAACTTCGCCGCGGTGGCTAATTCAAAGTCTGTTATTTTTTTGGAAATTGCTTTTTGTTTATTTTTCAAATTTTTGGGCTCATTTTCCTTGCCAAATGACAGCATAAGACATTGCGCAGACGTTTATTCATTTTCTGTGTCTGCTCTCCATCCTGCGTGTTGTCCCACCCATAAAAAGCCCCTCTACCAACATTCAAAGCATGCTACGGTTTAGATATTAGCTAAATCAAGACGGGGGTCATACGCTCTACTGCTGCCTACCAGACATTACTGAAGCACAGTCAGGCTTACTATGTAATCCAATTCCTTCTGCAAGTCTGGCTACTTCCTTTGCATGTGGGCCACCTCCATTTAGCGCAGTATTCTTGTTGGCAACCTATTACTTGCATATGCTCCCAGTCGCTATACGAATACGCCTTAGGTCTCTAGATCGCGCTGAAGACACAACAGGACTAGTGTGTCCCCTTATCCGATCGATGAGCGTCGTTCTTCGACAGTTAGTATTCCCTATCACAACCGGTAGGGCGGTGAGCCCGTGGTTTAATGGTTCAGAGGTCGGATCTAATTTCTGTAACTTGAGAAATCGGATTCGGACCTCAGGTCTCGCAAACCTGGTGATGGGTAAGACTAGCTGACGGTGGCTAATAAACCAGAAATCGTGAAAACATTCTCCCCATTCTGTATATATATATAGGCAGAATAGTATTGCCGACAAAGACAAGGGAGACTGGAATGGCCATTTCTGGCTTATTAGCCGTCGTCAGCCAGCCATACCCAAGCCCGAAGTGTGGAACACCTGAGCCTCGAACTCGCGACCTGTTGGTTTAGAAGTCAACGCCTCTACTCACCGGGCCACGAGCCCGTTGCCCTGTCGGTGAGTGCCCCCTAACATATATACATATATATGACAGATGGGCGCTCACCGATCAAGTTACAGAACATGCGCGTTCAATCAACAATGGGCGCACACAGATCTATTGACTGCACGAAGCAACCAAGCTCCGTATGGGTTGGAATTTCAAGTGATCCACACTTGGGGTTGGGTATGACTGGCTGATGACGGCTAATAAGCCAGAAATGGACATTCCGATCTCCCTTGTCTTTGTCGGCTCCATATCATCTATATCTACCACTAGTTGCTGTGCGACTGCCTGCGAGGGTTCTAGTATGAGCCCCAAGGCACAGCGGAACGAGCATGATCCGTAACCTGATCGGTGAGCGCCCATCTGTCATATATATATATATATATAATGGCAGGGGGCGCTCACCGATCGTTCATACGGAACTCACTCGTTGCGTTCTGCCTTAAGGACTCTCTCTCGAGCCCAACCAGCAGCCGCACAGCAACCGACAAGGCAACGGGCTCGTGGCCCGGTGAGTAGAGGCGTTGACTTCTAAACCAACAGGTCGCGAGTTCGAGGCTCGGGTGTTCCACACTTCGGGCCTGGGAATGGCTGGCTGACGACGGCTTATAAGCCAGAAATGGCTATTCCAGTCTCCCTTGTCTTTGTCGGTAATGCTATTCTGCCTGTATATCATGCGCCGCTGTGCGGCTGCTGGTTGGGCTCGAGAGAGAGTCCTTAAGGCACAACGGAACGAGTGAGTTCCGTATGAACGATCGGTGAGCGCCCCCTACCATTGTATATTCGCGACCGAAAACCGACAAGGCAACGGGCTCGTGGCCCGGTGAGTAGAGGCGTTGACTTCTAAACCAACAGGTCGCGAGTTCGAGGCTCGGGTGTTCCACACTTCGGGCTCGGGTATGGCTGGCTGACGACGGCTAATAAGCCAGAAATGGCCATTCCAGTCTCCCTTGACCTTGTCGGTAATGCTATTCTGCCTGTATATATATATATATATATTTCAAAGAATAATGAGTCCTTTGGGAAAATGAACAAACTTTATATCGTAAATTTTCGAGTCTGGTTCCCCAGCTCGTCTTCAGACGTGTAGCGAGTGTGAAGAAACAGTCAAAATTTAAACAATGCCGAAAAAAATCGATATTGCTCTGTCATGGCTTAGGATGGGTTAATATGCTGTGGGCTGATGTCACGTCTTGATTGGCTATTACCTTTTCCATTTTTCTTTGAGATTTGTGTACATGGTATCAAGGTCGATGCGTCGATTGATGCGTGAATCATCAGAGTGAATGGCCTCTAGGAATTCTTGGCCTTTCTTATATGGGCAGGAACCGACAATGCGTGTTTTATCCCAAGCGAGTTTGTCCCCAGTTTCAAGAGTATGCATGGCGACTTGGGATAAGTGGTCCCGCCGTTTCACTGCCAATTGGTGTTCATGTAGGCGTGTAGAGGCGGATTTTCCGGTTTGACCACAGTACACTGCATTACACGTGCCACATGGAATCTTATAGACTACTTCTTTCTTATCCAAATAGCCAACCCTATCCTTAGGGTGTACAAGCTGATTGCGTAGCGTGGTAGTCGGTTTGTGAACCACTTGTATTTGGTGCTTCCTCAGGTGTCTTTCAACGAGTTCAGACACATTTTTAATGAAAGGAAGCATTCGCCAATGTTTTGGTTTTGGCGTCTGATCGGAACAATCTAGTTCCTTCTCTCTTTCTTTTGATTCCTGCTCTTTCATGCATCGGCGTACAAAATCTCTAGGGAAGTCGTTTTGGGAAAATAGGTTGAAATAATTGAGTTCTTCTTTGTAACCTTCGTTCTCAGAGCAATGTGTCTTTGCTCGATTGAGTAGGGTCTTAACAGCACTCCTTTTGTGAGCCATAGGGTGGTTGCTCTCGTAATGTAGGATAACTTCCGCGTAAGTTTCTTTGCGGTATACTGATGTCTGGAATGTCCCGTCAGTTTTTCGCTGTACGAGGACATCAAAAAATGGGAGTTTGCTGTTAGCTTCTCTTTCGAGCGTGAACGTAATTCCCGGTAGTGTTGAGTTGATAGCTTTATGCAGAGTTTCTAGCTGATCTCTCTTGACGGTGACAAAGGTGTCATCTACGTAGCGTTCCCACAATTTGGGATTGACTAATGGTAAGGCTATAGCCTCTAATTTTTGCATTGCGACTTCAGCCAAAAAGCCAGAAATAGGTGACCCCATAGGAGCTCCTTTCAGCTGTCGATAACATTCATGTGCGAACGAGAAGTTCGTTTCCAGACATAGGTCCAAGAGTTCAAGCAAAGCAGCTGCAGGAACATCCATGTCGTAGGACTGTAAGAGTTCTTCTGTGCACTGCCTTGCCAAATCGAGTGGTATGAACGTGAATAGAGAGATGACATTGAACGACACCATTATCTCATCTGATTCAATAGTGAGTCCTCTTATCTTGTCTAGGAATTCAACTGAATTGTCGATTGAAGTCTCACAATCCTTTCTTAAGGGATGGATTTTGTGGAATAGCCATTTAGAGATTTTGTAATTCGGTAGAATGTTATTACCCACAAAGACAATGGACACTAGAATGGCCACTTCTGGCTTATTTGCTGTCGTCCGCCAGTCACATCCAATCCCGAGGTGTGGAACATCTGGGGCTTGAACCCCCGATCTGTTGCTATGAAGTCCAAAGTCTCTAATCGCTGAGCCACGGGCTCGTTTTCCTGTCAGTCTCGATCGGGAATGACTGGCCGACGACGACTAATAAGCCAGAAATGGCCATCCAAGTCTCCCTTGTCTTTGTAGGTAATAACACTCTGCCCATATCATGCGCTGCTCTACGGCTGCTGGTTGGGCTCTAGAGAAAGCCCGTAAGGCACAGCGGAATGAGAGAGTTCCGTAAGAACGGTCGGAGAGCGGTCCTCTACCATTATATATACTGTAGGTAGACTAACTCATGAAATGTCGACCGAAATTCCGAAATGGGTTTTCGTTTCAAAAAGATTAATTAAGTAGGGTTGTAAAACTAATCAGCCTGGAACAGAATTCTATAATATTCCAGTTACCTCAGGATGCCGGCTTTCGAACGAACTTTCTTCCGACTGCATGCAAAAACTACAGTCTAAAGAATTACTACGTATACAGCATAATTTTTTCTCATTAATTTTTGATTCCCCTAAAAGTCCACTTACATTTCATGGAAAACATGCATCAAACAGCCGCTATCTTTTTCGTTTGTTAGAGATTTACGTTTTCTTCCAATTTTTTACTCAAAGGGTTTTAAGAAAGTTCTTAATTGTAGGATTTTTTAATGCCCTGAAATTGCTGTTCATAAAACGTCATGTCTCTGCATGTACCAATATGCCTTGTAAAGTTAAGAATATGGCACAAATCAACTGCTAAATTTTACGAACTGCATGTAGTCTCCTCCTAATTCTGTCGAGAAATTTAAGAATTTCCGTACGCGGGAAGTATACGGCTTGTAGTTTGGAAACCCTGAATGCAAGTGCAACGGTGGGTCAAGTTCAAAATTATTCGAGAAATGGGAATGTTTTTGGAAACCAAATGATCCCCTTCCTTCGAAGACAATATTGGAAGAAGACGTAATTTTCTACCGAATGAACGAAAGAATGAATATTTTTATGCAGGTTTTCCATAAAATATAATTGGACTTTTATGGGCATCGAAAATCAATGAAAAAAATGCATGCAACTTAAGTTGTCATTTTTTATATTGTAGTTTATGCATGCAGCCGAAAGGAAGTACGTTTGAAAGCCGACATCCTGAGGTAACTGAAATACTATAGAATTATGTTCCAGGCTGACTAGTTTTGCAACCCTACTTTATTAATCTTTTTGAAACGAAAACCCATTTCGGAATTTCGGTCGACATTTCATTAGTTAGCCCACCTCCTGTACTTCGTGTAATTGGCTCGAGATAAGCACCCAGATGACGGTAGGCTGTAGGAACCCAACTAACTTGAGGTAACCTGTGGACCGCGTCATACGAAAATTGTGGTAGAGGGGTTTTAGTGGTGGGGTAAAACGCAGGAAAACGAGCAGGCGGAGTGCAAGAAAACACACCGAAAATAATTGAATTCCCGTCGAAAGTCTAAGCCTACGCTGTCATATGCCAGCGAAAGTGAGCACGCCAATTACAGAAATAGACAAAATACACATAGCTGTCGTAGACAAAACGGTTGGGGTCCCACACCCTACCGTTTACAGCTCCGAAATAGTGCTATTTCTCGTAAAAACGCACTTACAGAATTTCGCCAGGAGCATCGACAGGAGCATCGACTGCGCAGTCCCCACCACACCTTACAGCTAACCGTCACAACTACTAGTGACAGAAACTCTGAAGTTTCTTGTGCATAACTACAGCAAAAGCTCTCCACATGGAACGCTATTTCTTTCTTGCGGGTAAATATACTAATTCACACCTTGCTCGTCCAACCGCAGTCCAAATAAAAGGCCATGACCAGAGCATCTGGCGAGTTTTTCGTCCCTGTTAAATGCCAGCGGGTAAACAGAGGGTAATGTAACGGTCCCAAGTTTGGTTAAGCGAATGAAGGAGACAGCTTTGCTGATGAATCCACCCCCCTGGGTTCCACCGGTAGAGACACCTGTAGGTCCTCTCAAGCAGGTTCCCACACAGCAAGTGATCTTAGGTGGTTTTTAGGGCCGGCACAGTTACTAAACGATTCTAGGACCCCAAATTATATGTATCGATACTAGGACAATTTATATATCATGGAAGCATCAAAAATCTGTCAAAATACACATTTATTAAGTGGCGCTTTGTCCAGAATGAGGTCAAAAATATTTCCTATTGAAAACATGTCGGGTCGAAGTGCATAGCTACTAGTTTTATAAACTTCACTGAACAATATCTTCTATTTGACAGCGTGGCTGCAAAATCCAACCAAAAATTGGCGGGCTTCGGCTAACACGGTAATTTTTTACAAGCCCCCCCCCCGGTGATCGAAAGTGCCTTGAGTTGAAGAGCTATCGGTTGATAGTCCTATGTACGCTGAATCTCAAGTGCATTCAGAGGTGCAGTTCTGAACAAAGGCTTAACATGACGGGAAGACAGGGGCCGTAATGGCATCACTACATTTATCTCATTTTCAACGCTGACGTTTGGGCCGACATTCAAAAGCTATCCACCCGTGAAAAAAGGGGTTGTCTAATAGTCCATAGGTAACGGCTGATAGGTGAGCTGATGGAAGTGATTTGTTTCAAGATCAGAAGGGCCACACCAAAACAAAAAACGCGCCGACATCGCTGGTCAGTAAAATGCTAGAAAGTTCCAGCGTCTGCCTGGTTGTCTATCCAGCTGTCTTCGTCCTCTCTGACATACGCTGCTTCGCGAGACGCCCCCCCCCCCATCCTCACGGACTCATCTTCCCAAACCAGTAGAAAAAATCACTCATTAGGGCTCTTTGCTCTGAAGGTTATGACAGGTTGTCTTGGGCAATTAAATGAAAGAGGGAGATAACCCTCAATTTCGGATTTCTAAACGCCAGACATAATGACCTTCCCTCAGTCGCTTCCTCCTCCTCCTTTTATCCTGACCACGACACCATTTTCCCTTTCCCTGTCTTTAGGACGATAGGCTCTTCCCATCGCAGTGGCAGGGTATAGGCAGAACAAAGGACTGAACACGTAATTAGTCCTCATCTACATCGGGACGACAATTGATTTTTTGAAAAAAATTGTCCAGATGAAGAGCGATACCTAATTACTACTAGTCCCAGATTGAAATACATACAGAGCGGGAGATGATGTCGAAGTTATTTCCTTCTAGATTAATTCACTTTGAACCCAAACAGACAGAGAGGCGAAAAAGGGTAGGAGGACTGCGGTCTAAAGAAATCCAGCTGTGAAAGAGGGACGCCCACCGATTGCGTTACGGGACACACTCGTCACGCTTTGCGCCACCGACCGCATAGGGGCTATTAGTATAGGCTGAATAACATTCCTGACAAATGCAAAGGGGACTGGAATGTTCATTCCTGACTCATTGGCCGTCATCAGCCAGCCAAACCCAATCTCAGGTTTTTCGCAACCTCAGAGGCTCGATCCCCGATCTGTTAGTTAGACGTCCAACGCCATAACCAGCTGTAAATAGTCAAAAGGCGAGAGCGGGGGTGGCATCAAATAGCATGGCCTGAAAACGCATGTTTGAGGCGATTTTAAGTGAACTCGTATTGAATCTGCGACAGTCGTAAGTCAACACATCAGACAAAATGCTAACTTTCGGCCGTAACCTCCTGCAGAGTCGAGATTACGGTCAGAGAGGCATCAGCAGGGGAAAACTTGTTTTCTATTCACGTCGCCGTAGTTACACGCGGTGGGCTAACTCAGTCAGTCAGCAGTATAATTCTATAATAATTCAGTTTCTTCAAGAGGCTGGCTTTCGAACAAACTTCCATCCGGCTGCATACAAAAACTATACCCTGTAAAAAATAACTACTTATGTAGCATGCATTTTTCTCGTTGATTTTCGATGCCTTTAACTGCTCAATTATGATTCATGAAAAACATGTATAAAAATATTCATTCTTTCACTCATTCGGTAGAAAATTACGCTTTTTTCCAATTTTATCTTCGAAGAAAGGGGATAATTTTGTTTTCAAAAATGTTTCCACTCCCCGAATCATTTTAAACCCGCTCTACTGTCACATTTGGATTCAGGGTTTAGAAACTACACACCACGTGTTTTCCGCGTACGGAAACCCACACATTCATCCACGGTATTGAGAGGAGAAGATACGGGGTTCATACAATTTAACAGTGAATTTGATCCAGATTGCTAACTTTACAAGTCATATTGCTAAATGCAGAGACGTGACGTTTTTTGAACGGACATTTCATGGCTCTTAAAAATCTCACAACTAGGAACATTTATAAAACCGCATTATGTCCGTCCTTCAGGTATAAAATTAGGAGAAGACGTAATTTTCTACCGAATGAGCAAAAGAATGAATTTGTTTACGCGTGTTTTCCATGACGTTTAAATGAATATTTAGGGGCATCGAAAATCAACGGGAAAAATGCATGTTACAAAAGTAGTCATTTTTACAGAGTTTAGTTTTTGTATGCAGCCAGTTGGATGTTCGTTCGAAAGCCAGCACCTTGAGGTAACCGAAGTATTATAGAATTATACTACGCGACTATTAGTTTTATAACCCTGCATGATTTGTCTTTTCGAGGAGAAAACACATTTAAGAATGCCAATTGACATTTCATGAGTTAGCCCACTTACTGCATGCACCAGGAAGCAGATAAGATCCTCCTAAGAGTAGTCGATAAATAGGCTGATTTGAGCGCACACCTAGTGGCTCATTCATCCGGGTAATCTGTGTCATTATGTTGTAAATACCGCAGTTTGATGATGATGATGATGATGATGATGATGATAATGATGATGATGATGATGATGATGATGATGATGATGATGATGATGATGATGATGATGATGATGATGATGATGATGATGATGATGATGATGGTGGTCGCCTTTGGCCTGTATGCAATCTGACTTCAAATGATTGAGAACTCCACAACATTAACTTCAACATGTTTTTTGGAGTCCATGGAAACGCACGCCTCTCGAGGTACGACGATGAGAATGATAAGACGAGCCTCGCCAGATCGGCATCTACCAACTTTTTATGAACACCCTAGGATTCGATTAGCCCTTTCAGTTCCCATGTACAGCTTCATTATCCAGTTCACTAACGACTACGAAGAATGTGAGTAAAGGTTGTACCATCAGGACACTGAGGAATTCGTTCAGTACTTAGAAATAAACTAGTTCTCTCCCTCTTTTTCCATAAATACCTTTTAAAATTTGGCACATTAAGTCATGAGAGCATTCAGCATCCATTTTTTCTTAAGTTTCTTTCACTTTTTCTTGAATAACACCTATTGTCAAGCATACGAAGTAAACTCAGGACACCTCACTATGATACTCAGCTGTTGCTACTTCCATTTGAACTGCGCGGTTTCATGCAGTTGTTCGGGCGCAGGATTTCTTAAGTTGATTGATGTACCGAGGTCGGACAGAATCTTGGAATGTTCGCCCGACCGGCCAGACTTTAGTAAATGCAATAGTCGCTTGGCCCTTTGCACCATATATGAAAGCCGAATACTCAATCATTAGGTCTTCAATTCGCCCGAGAACATAGTCAAGTAGCCCTTTCAAGGTGTTCCAGCTGAAATGATACGGGGTCATGACTGGTTCCTAAATGGCCGACTTTAGTGTACCTCCGCATGCTAACTTTCTTAGGTTCGGATCCAATTTGTGATATGCCCTAGCGCTATATTCGCGATTGAGGTGTTAACCTCCACAGTGTCAATAATCCGCAAGTTTCGACGGCTGACAACTCACGGAAGTGAACTTCAACGTATAAAACGCTTCTTTCTACCCCGGGCTCTTTGCTTTCAAAATTGCCAATAGATATCCAAACCCACTAGATCTTTTAATGTTTCTTTCATTGGGCAAGTGGGCCGTCGGGAGTGAAACAATAGCACCCGATTCGCCCCGGGCGCTCGACCTCTAAACTACTGCGACTACATCTGCCAGCCCTGAGACTTAATCGATAAGATCTGCATTTAAATTCGACAAGCACACTGTATTTTTTATTCGCGTGACGGTTACCGCGGCTGGCATTTTGGCAGACTTTTCCTCGATTTGGGTATGGCAGGCGCAAGCCAATGTCCTTGACATCGCTGCCTCCAGTGGCGACGCCAAAGCGCGCACTGTGGACAAATCTGGGCGAAAAAAGACCTTGTAAGATGGGAAATTTCGTCCCCTTTGAACTCGGCGCTTGTTTTTGTCTGAAGAATTGCAAGGGCACGAATATCCGACCTAGTCGACTGTCGTATTCGTAACCTCAGGAAAGGACGATCCACCCGATCAATCGGATGACTTCGGTGGTCCGAATGATGGCTGACATCGGGCGTCTGGGTATTCGGTGGTACAGCGTATCTGGGAGTGCCGGACTAATCGGTTCCCCCGATAAATATGCGTAGAGATTGGAGCGGATATCAGTATTTCTGTCGGTAGATGGCAAAACAGCTTTGCCGCTGGTGTCTGGAGTGAAGCTAAAGATAAAACCGGAGTGAAAAGTTTGCGAATGACCTTGTGTATCGTACCTGTACTTTAATATCCCCTGGATGCCGGCCTTCGAACAAACTTCATTCCGGCTACATGCGAAAACTATTCTCTTTGGAAAATGACTATCTAAGTAGCATATAATTTTCTCGTCGATTTTAGATGCCTTGATGCTTCAATTATATTTCATGGAAAACATGCATAACAATATTCATTCTTTTATATATTGGGTAGAAAATCACGTCTTATTCCAATTTTATGATTGAAGGAGGAGTATAATTCAGTTTCAAAAAAGTTTCAAGTTGTGGGAGTTTTTAATACCGTGAAACGGCCGTTCATGAAACGCCATGTATTTGCACTTACCAAAGCGGCTTGTAAAGTTAACAATGTTGCTTAAATCCCCTGTTTAATTTTATGAACAACATATGGTCTCCTCTTAACGCCGTAGAGGAATGCATGGTTTTCCGAACATGTAAAATATACGGCTTGTAGTGTGAAAACCTGAGTGCGAGTATAACAGCAGGTCGGGTTCAAAATTATTCGGGAATTAGAAAAAAATTTAAAACTGAATTATACTCTTCTTTCGAGTATAAAATTGGAAGAAGACGTGATTTTCTAACAAGCAAATAAGAGAATGAATATGTTTATGCATGTCTTCCATGAAATATAATTGAATTTTCAAATGCACCTAGAATTGATGAGAAAATTGCACGCTACTTAGGTAGTCCTTTTTCGCAGAGTATAGTTCATGCATGCAGTCGGAAAAAAGCTCATTTGAAAGCCGACACCCTGCGATAACTGGATCATTGTAGAATTATACTGCACGATGATTAATTTCACAGCCATACTTAATTAATCTTTTCGAAACGAGAACGCATTTCGAAATTTAGGTTGACATTTCATGAGTTAGCCTACCCCCTATATCTGTATATCACCGGCTAGTGGATTTGTCGAGGTAAGTTGGCCGACAACTCGATGATTCCCAAATCTCAAGTCTGGGAAGACAGGACTATTGGATAAATTCTAACACAGCAGCTCATGCGAAAAAGGCGGTAAATCGTCTCATCAGACGAGTCAGTCGTTTAAGTTGTTAGTCCCCGTGCAAAATATATGCCTACGAATTGCGCGGTCGCGACCAATCGATGAACGCAGAAATATCGATCGGCGTCACGGTATTGGCAAGCCAGGGTAGACCTCCAGGCGTTCTAGGCAGATCGAGGGCAGCATGGGTAAGAGGCCGCGCTGGCGACCACCCATAAGAGAAGCAGCTCAAGTGAGTGGGGGGATAAAAACTCGCCTAGTGGCGCGCATGCTATCCACACCGCAAAAAAGAGGTTATTTGCTGCGCGGAGCCAACTTTGGATCATGGCATGTGTTGTCGGAGCTGCCGTGTGAGCGTGGGCCCCACGCGGATGAGGTGGCAGCTACAGTGAGTGGGCTAACTCATGAAATGTCAACCGAATTTACGAAATGCATCTTCGTTTCGAAAAGATTAATTAAGAAGGGTTGTAAAACCACCAATCCTACAGCATAATTCTATAAAAATCCAGTTACCTCAGAATACCGACTTTCGAAAGAACGTCTTTCCTCCTGCATGCTAAAACTATACTCTGTAACAATGACTACTTAATTAGCACAAAATATTCTCCCTGATTATCGATGCCCATAAATATTCAATTATACTTCATGGAAAACATGCATAAAAAATATTCATTCTTTTGCTTATTCTGTAGAAAATTCCGTCTTCCAATTTTATACCCGAAGGGAGGATATAATTCGGTTTTCAAAAAGTTTCTAATTGTGAGATATCTAAATGTCTCTGCATTTATCAATATGGCTTGTAAAGTTAACAATATGGCTCAAACCCACTGCTAAATTTTACGAACCACATATAGTCGCCTCCTAGTACCGTGGAGAAATGTAGGAATTTCCCTAAGCAGGAAGTATACGTCTTTTAGTTTAAAAACCCTGAATGCAAGTGCAACGGCAGGTCTAGTTCGAAATTATTCGGGAATCGGAAAAGTTTTTTTAAAACCGAATTATTCCCCTCCTTCGAGTATAAAATTGGAAGAAGACGTGATTTTCTACCGAATGAGTAGAAGAAGGAATATGTGTACGTATGTTTTCCATGAAATATAATTTAATTTGTAAAGGCATCGAAAACCAATGAGCAAAATGCATGCTAATTAAGTAGTCCCTTTCTACAGAGTGTAGCTTTTGCATGCAGAAATTTGTTCGAAAGCCGGCGCCCTGAGGTAACCGAATTATTACAGAATTAGGTTACATGAAGATTAGTTTTACAACCTTACTTAAATAATCTTTTCAGAACGAAGACACATTTCGGAATTTCGGTTGACATTTCACGAGTTAGCCCACCTACTGTATTCCTGCGCCCTCACTTCAACCCTAGCCAAACACTCACCCTACCCCTATTACGCACATCAATATCCATAACTCTACTCCTTGTGCTGCTAGAATCTAGCTCGCGGACACTTGTAATAGAGGAGGTGGGGGGCATATGCGAGGCCATATGGTCAATCTTCTCATGCGTTTTAGGTATACCGATATTGCTTCTCTTTTTATCCAAGCAGAATATTGGGGGAGATCAGAAAGAAGTAGATGGGAAAATGACACATAATTGGATGAATGGCGGAAAGCGGAAATGAACGCCGAATCTGACAGACTATGTTCGTACTCTTACTTTAAGGTAATCCAGCGTAAAGGGACTAGGGAGGATCGGGCAGTAAGTATCACCAAGATATTGGACGACAATATTTAACTTGCTGGAATCTCGAATGATACAACAGCGGAGAAATGACGCGGAGCAGAATCAGCCGTATTATTTGTGCTCTGAAGACTCCTTCAGAGGGAAAGGACAGGGTAGTTATACGTCACTAAAAGTATCACTTTCAACCGTCTCTCATAGGTCTACCTGGTTTACTCAAGTTGCAGGACGAATCTTCTGGCTATTACGGGCATCCGCTGTATATGCGGGGGGGGGTCTAGTGAAGCGATAAGGCGATTCGAATACAGGTGAATTCGTATCAATTCGAAGGACGCAAAAAGAAGACGATGGACTTTAAATGCTTGCCCCTAAATAACCTACATCTAGGCGATCCCCCTCGCGCCTCCCCCTCTCACACTCGACTTCACTGCCTCGGTACACGCCAAGATGGACACAGACGTTGGCAACCTCGATATGACCCCGCGTCGCTGCTGGTTGTGGTATGTACCTTGTGCGAACTTCGCTCGCCAACAGTTTTATGTCCTTCCTACACAATTTATACGCCTTGCCCAGAGGAGTGCAAAGCCGCAGTAAAAAGCCGCCCTCCCCCCTCCTCTGCGTTCTGTCGTCAAGCTCGCACGCTCGCTGAAACGTGTTCATGCTGCTGCTGCGGTCGGCCGAGACGCACTCTCATCAGCCTCACATGCCCTG